ACACACACACACACACACACACACACACACACACACACACACACACACACACACACACACACACATATATATATATATATATATATATATATATATATATATATATATATATACATACACATATATATACACACGCATACACAGTATCAGTGGCGGCTCATGGAAAAATAAAATGGAAGAACTGCGTCACAGCCAGCTTCACACAAGAGTATAATGAGAATACTTAAAGAAACAGTAAAAAGAAAGATAATTCAAGAAGCATTACACAAAAGGAAGTTATAAGTATTCCATTACAGGTAACCCCGTAAATATCAGACTGTAACTGGGTCTGGGCCACATCAAACGCAGTTCCTCGGTGTCATGTAGAGCCAATAAATCCTGCGCCATCGTACACACACACACACACACATACATATACACAAGCACACACCAACACACACAAACAGACACACACACACACACATACATAATCACACACAAACAAGCACACACACACACACACATACACATATATTTACCTACACACACAAACACACACACAAACTCACACACACATACGTAAAGACACACACATATATATAAACACACATACATGCACATATTTACCCGCACACAAATGCTGGGTATGACACAGAAGATCTGAACTGTCACTGGAAAGCTGTAGAGGATGATGTGCCTGTGCTGATTGCTTTCTGATATTTCTCGCTCTCTCACTCTATTTAATGAAGTTGACTGCGTTTATAAAGAGACTTTTTTCTTTCTTTCTTTTCTCTTAGTTATTCTTATTCGGTGGATATTTAACAGAAAATAAAAAAAACATTATTCAAAGATGTAATGTTTGGTGAAATTTCTTTTTTTTTGTGTGTTATCCTTAGTCCGTGGATGATATTTGACGAAAAAAAAAAACAATATGTAATGTCTGGTAATATCTCCAAGAATTATATTTCCATTGTTTGAGACAAAGGTCATGCTGGTGATATTTTGAAAGAACAGTTTTCTAACTCTGCTTTGCAAGAAATAAGTAAAAACTGAAACAGTAAAGTTTCAGTTCCGATGATACTCTTTACGTCTGAAAATTATGAGTTATGAGAATAGTTCGTTCATCTTTCCTGTTTTAGTGTATGATGGTTTTAGGAAGATGAAGAAAAGCATAATAACGATAAAAAAGAAAGATGTGTGTGTGTGTGTGTGTGTGTGTGTGTGTGTGTGTGTGTGTGTGTGTGTGTGTGTGTGTGTGTGTGTGTGTGCTAGCGTGTGTCTGTTTATTGAAATTAGTAAATTATAACCGTCACTGCCGACTCTATTTCATATCTAACAAACGATAATGGGCAATACAGTTCTCAGTGGTGGTGCAAGAAAATCAAGTTTTTTTTTCTTATTAAGTGTTCTGATGTTTAAAAAAAAATATTGACTGTACAGGCAAACAGAAGAATAACTATTATTATCATAATCTTTCAGAACTGTTTACAATGAAATAGGATGTTAGGAATAAAATAAAAAGCAAAACAAAATTGACAACAAAAAAGAAAACGAACGTAACATTATTTCGTTAAAAAAAAACGTCACTTTCATCACTTAACACATAATGTGCTCTTACTTATACATTTATACACATACGTAAAAAAACGGTAATTCACCAACCATATACTAAACAATTATGCCATTTACAACAAGCAAAATTTAGGAAAATAATTAAATACTCAACCAAAAATAAAGTAAAATAAGATAAAGAAGAAAAAGAAAAAGGAAAGAGATGTGAAATTACCATATGGCTGGCCACGCAGTTAACCGCCAAATTTTCACTCTCTTTCCACGCAAAAACTCTCGACAGTTTTTTCCCTGTACTGCACCTTTTATTTTCTTCTGTTTAAGACGTCTGTTTAAATGATAATACGATGTCTTAACTGTTGTGAGGCTGTAGGCATGATTCGAAACCCAAAATTTTGTTTGTTTTTTTTCGAAATGAAGCTATTCTAACCGAACAAACCGCAATT